TTCCGGGCGAAAGCCCTTGGAATTAAATTCGGAAATTAATTTTTCCGAATTTAATTCCAAGGGCTTTCGCCCGGTATTGTTCTTGGTTGATCTATCTAGCGCGCGCAATCCATCATGTGACAGGCGTTCCTCGTAGTGTTTTGGTTTCGGCCGATCCGAATGACCTACGATCGTGTAAGGAAGGGAATGACGAGTGTAATAGGAGGGGAGTGAAACGGTGGAAATTTTATCGTCCTATGCTCGTAGCAGATTGCTATGCACATTAACGGCTGGATTACACGATCAAGTTAGAACGTAAGTACTTTTTCGAAACTAGAAGTCAGCTGATTTTATGAATTTACGTAACATGAGCGTATGAGTTTATGTTCAAGATGAACTGTCGAGTCACTCGTTTGAATGTTTTTGAAATCGTTACACTGTCTAGAATTCAATTTCAAATTTGAATTTTTCTGCAGAATAATCAATAGTTTATTTTCCGTATCTAATGGGGAAGCTATCAAAACTACGGAGGCATATTTAGTTTACAAGACCGAGTGTAACAAAAAAGGACTGAAGCCATGTGATCAGGCAAACTTCGGGAACTATTTATTTGATGCTTTTCCGACTGGTACACTTCAGAAAAAAAGGAGAAGAATTAGTGGGTCGCCGGAAAAATACGAGTATCCTTTTAATTTGCAAATCCTCCAGTTCCTATTGGTGCTAATCGACTGAACCAAACCCTTTTAAGAGCGTATGTCTGTAACGGTCGAGAAACCCAAGACAGTTGCAAAAAATCAAAGTTGATTTTATTTCACCAAAAGAACCTTTATAGATAGGTATTTCAGAAAACACGATCAAAAAGTCCAAGCGCAATTTTATTTTTGTGAAATTTACGAAAGTTTGAAAAATCGATTAAAATATTGATTTTTCCTAATTAATATGCATAAATCGAAAGCCAACTTCAATAAGCACTAGACGGCGTAAAAAGTAACCAATTCAAACCATATTTCCCATAACATTGTATCTTTAATTTGTACTATTTGTTTTTTTTATCAACTATTTTATTTTCACTTATATTTAGCTTCTTAAAACCCTCTTTCTTTTGTGATCAATTGACGGTCAAATTTTAGACGAAATTTAGACACCAATATCTCTGCTGGTACCTAACAAATCGAAAAGTAATCAACATCACATTAAAGAACATCCCTTCTAGTGTCTTTAGGCCAAATCGGAGCTTCTACAAATAAAACGCCAACCCGCGAGCGAATTTTATTTGGAGGCGGTGAAACACGAAATGCGACTAACTAATTTCCAACGCTGGCATTCATTATTGAGATATGCAAAATGTGAGAGAAAAAGAAAGCTGTTCTGTTACATCTTAAGTGTTATTGTAGAGTAAAATTGTGCTTTTTAAACTTATTAATCGTAAATTAATACAAAATTGATAATAAAAAACTGCTACGAGTAAAAAAGTATGTCACACAACAGGTCAAGACGTTTACATATCAACGGAAGTAACGTATTCTCTAGGATTCAATATGTAAACTTTCAACATTAAATGCTTTAAATCTAGTAATATTTGTGTTGVGATAAACATATCAAATCACGAAACAAATACAGTTGTGTTTACTTTTTTCTGGTAAAGTTGGTGTATTGCATATCAGTTGCCGATTCATTATCAAACTGACTCGCTTACTGACCATATATATAGTCATCTCGCTCTATTACTATGCTCAGACTAAGATACAACTAAAGAAATATATTACCTTTACCTACTTACCGTTAGCTAGGTCTTTATACAATTCATATCTTCTTAACTCTCTTTCATTTTTGTG